TAAGGAAGTGAGGTTACCACCCCTGATTGTATTGATGCCACAGGAGATGGTAACACACGGAGCCTGTATGACTCCCATGGCTTTGATACTGACAGTGTGGGGTAGTGTATTGGAGCAGAGGAGTCAACAAGAAATTCAAATCCTGTGTTTTCTATTACATTTTTTCATGCATGTTAAGAAATAGAACTGTAAAAGCTTATAAAGAAAAAAAAGATTTGATAAATCTACTGAAATGAAGGCTGTGACACAATATTACTGTGGCCATCTTCATACTGACTGCCTTCATATAACAGCTGTTACAAAATTAATCCCAAATGTAAATGCTTAGTCTGGAACACATACAAATAATCATCCTATATGTTGGCAAATAGGGACAAAGAGACAAGTGATCTACACTACAAAACTGACTTGTGTGAAATTTGTGTGTGAGGAGAAGAGTCGCAAATAGAGCAAAGAGCCTTTAATTTCCATAAAATTATGCTTTGCAAACATGAACACTTTGTGGACCAATCTAAAGGGGGACTACTTGGAAAAAAATATATGACTTCCAAGGGCTGTGGAGAATCTGGTATGTTTTAGAGTTTTTCTTTATATTAGATATTACTGCTTGTTTAAAAGGATACCATATCCAAATCTAATGATATCTCCAGGAGCAAGTCTAACAGCTGCATTTTGCACACGACACTCGTTGACATAAGTTCCATGTGCAGAGTTAAGATCTTGTACTACAAAACAACCTTCTGTCTCATCATACTCAATAACAGCGTGCTGACGCTCTACATTTGAACACTGCATGAAAACACAACAGTGAGGGTCAACTAAATCACAATGCAAGATAACCATGGTATATATAAATAATATAAATATAACAGCTGATCAAGAATAAGACATCTGGTGCTAGTCTCAATAATCAGTTACTGATGGTATTTTGGTGACTAAAGAACTCAGCAAAGATCCTAAATTCAATAAAAAATGTATTTGGAGTTAAGAAGAGAATTAGCGAGGGACAGCCATGGTAACAGTGGATTTTCTTCCTCTTCGTGCCTGACGTTTCTTCGTTTTTGTTAAATGTGATCAACTGACACAGGAGCCGGATGCATAAATTCCTTTCACAAAAATCAATTAATGTTTTCCACGAACATGAGTGTACTGTTAAAAATACTTCTAAATTGAAGTGTTTACTGTTACATTGAAAGAAACATCAAACTGTTTCTGAGACGCGCACGTTAAAATGATTAAACAAAAGAATAAATAGAACGCTGAGACAATACAGAACCTATTGACTAAGAGAAAAGCTGTACAAATTCCAAATATATGACATTGTTGTCAAAATGAACTCGGAACAAAGATCGACAACGTTGAGAGTCATCAGCTATCGTTTAAATTTGTAGAACAATTAGCTATGGCTAATCGTTTCAACCATATTAATCATATTACTGATAAACTCTCATTTTGAGTTTTTACTTTGAATACAAATTGAACAAACGCTTTCCGCTAAAGAATAATTCCACTTCATCCTTTCTTGACCTTTCTTTCTTGGAAATAAATTTTTGAAATATTTCATGAACTATCAAAAATCTCGTCTTATAATTACTCTATCTGCAGTACTTGCGCTTACCTGGATAATAACATCACTCCCTTCACAACCGATGGTAGTAAGCGGTTGTCGAAGCTGATGAATACAGCTTCCATCCCGTGAACGGAGACACGCTTTCATTGATGATATAGTTATCTCATTATAACCTCGCTATTATTTCTTATTAGAGTTGTAATGGATTCGGAACTATCGTAAACATTCGATCCGTTCCGTCGGCATTTAACATGGCCGACAGAATTTGCGTTCTCATGTTGCTACGGCGACACCAACGTCGAACCCAGTAGTACTCTGTCATAAATGAACAATAGTGAGTGGCAAGACCAGAAGGGAGCTAAGCTGAAATTCTAGCGTGTCAACGACCTTAAAAGCCTTCACAGCTGTTTCGTCGCTTCTCCTTTAGTATGCACTCAGAATTCACTTAAACCCGGCTTCGAGGCCCTCCTCTACAACAGGAGAATTAAAAGAGACAACAGCTGAGGTGAATTTACTCTCTATTTTTCAAGTTGATAACGTTCTGATAAGTAAGTAAATAAGACCTTTATTTACTTACTTGAGTGTCAATGTGTTTAGCCTAAGAAGACTAATTGGGGACACTATAACTAAAATACACTTGTAAAAATTATATATTTAGACGCAAATGATTAAAATTTAAAGTTTAGAAAGCTAAAATATTCCTATTGACTGCAAAGATTACAGCAATTGCTGTTATTAATTACAATCTCGTCTAGGTTCAGTTTTCTTATTTTGTTTCAGTTATGAAAACACATAAACTTGGCAAATCCCTTTTTTAGTGAGTTTTGACCACAAAAACGGCCCTAGATATCTGACAGAGTGCTTGCCATAGCAAATAGTTTCAAAACGTGGTAATACAAAGTCACTATTCCGTAGCAAATGTGTAGAGCCTTTGCGAACAAATAATTCAGAAACGCAGTCGGGTGCAAGACCATGTTTGACTTTGTACATAAGTGCTGTGATATCCTGAAGCCGTCCATTATATAAAGAGGGGTATATCAGCACGCCTTAGGAGTTCTTCATATGTAGCAGAGTGGGATTTATAAATAACCCTTAGGGCTCGTTCTTGTAATCGTTCTAACTTTCTTTTGTCCGATGATTAGCAAAAATGCCAGGTTAGATGGCAGTAAGTTAAATATGGCTGTAAAAAAGATTTATACAATAGTAGCTTGGCCTTGCAGGGTATTAAGTTCCGAAGACGTCGGTGAGAGTACTCCATCTTTCTGGCTTGCCTTGGTACATCATTTGCTAATATGATCAGTGAAATTGAGATTTTCATCTAAATGAAATCCTAGTAGTTTGATTAGTTTTGTGTTCCCATTAGCTAGATGGTTTATACTCAGCGTTTTTGTCGCTCTTATCTTTATCGAGTTTTCGTGGATTGATGTTTAGAAACTGAAACTTGTCTGGATTGGCCAGTAGAAAATTGTTCGAATACCATGACAGTGCTTTCTGGCCCTGTGTTTTCATTCTGCATCGTACTATTTCATGTTTCCTTCCTATGACGTACATTTGATGGTCATCAGCATACATTGTTAAATTTACGTCTTTGACATGAGCTGACATATCGTTCTGGTAGATGTTCCATAGTAAGGGACTGAAAGATGATCCTTGAGGGCATCCCCGTTCCATCTTTATCCAGTCGGTAGTACCATCACACATTTTTACTCGGTTTAGTCTGTCCGCAAAAAATGATCGCATAAGGTTAAGTGATCGTCCTCCAAATCCATAAGCCTCTAGTTTCTTTACCGTCAGAGAGTGGCTGAGATGAAACAAGATTTAGTTCCATTTGAGCGTTCTTTTAAAATTTCATGTCGCCGTTGATAAAGGTAATTAATCTTAGCGAATGCATGTGAAGATTTTGGACATATTTTCACCACGAAAATGTTTACTATCTGGTTTTTAGCCAAGCTTTTTACAATTGTTGTTGCTTTATCGGTGCTTGCGCGAAAAAAATTCTGTCGTTCTGGCTAGGAAAGTTTTCCGACCCGAAATGAGCTTTTTAATTGCTTTTTAACAGCTTTTTAATTACTTTGTGTTTTATAAAGCATTTAACAAAAGGACTGGGTTAATTGAGTTAATCGTTCTGCCCAAAATAGTTTTACGGCCGTAAAGAGGTTATCATTTGTATTAAAAAGGACCAAGGTTGCATATTTTAAGATGCTAAGCACCGGGCAACAATTTTGTAGAGTCGAGGTTTTTTAGAATTCGTGCAAACTTCTCATGAGCTTTTATTCGTTTTTCAGTAACCTTTTATCGTGCGCTTCTTTGTTTATTGTTGTTCTCGTTCGTGTGACAATAGTCATGAGGAGGATTGCAAGTTCTTTTTCCCTGAAACTTGCTGTTTATTGTGAGTATGCTTCCCTTCGTTTCCACCGACTGGCAGAGCCTGGCACAGGCTATCCTTATGAACACTTTTGAGGGTCTCAGTGGCAGCAATGAGGTTAACCGTTAGATGTAAAAACAGCAAATTTAATTAGCCGTTAGGCTAACTATGGCTTAACAATTGACAAATTTTAACTGTTAGTCGTTGAAAAGGTAACGGTAAAAAAGTTTCAACCGCAAAGGAAAGAAATTAACCATTAGCCATGAAATGCCTAAAATTTTAACCGTTATAGGCACAAAACCATCACCCCCATTTAGACCTTCAGAAAATAAAGTGCCAACCAATCAGAACATAATGATTTGCAAGGTTGGTTAAATAATCTTTCACCGTGCGAGCCCGTGGATCTTCAAATGACAGTGAACAGGGTTTTCTGAGCTATCTACCCTAATTGTGTCGTCAATTGAACACAAATTAACTTTATTCCATCAATATTCAAGATATTTAAGTTAGCCCCTACATGCATCTTCGTTTACAAGTGAAGGTGGAAAACATGCTTGTTCATGCACAACATGTATAGATGCATAGGTCACGCGTAACCTGCGGTTTTAAGAGCATTCAGCACAATAATTACGTCCATTGCTACAATACAGTCAGTTAGGGAACAACGATTACTAATTCCTGTTAAATATAGTTTTTGGCTCATAAAAGAGCCATTTGTTTGTATTTGAAGGGTTCAAATTTGCATATCATTTATGAGGTCTAAAAAGGTTGGATAAAGTTTGTAATGTCGAGTTTCCGAATCGTGATTATATTTTCTCTCCTTGATACCCACACATGATCCTGCAATTGTTATTGTGTGCTGTATGTTATATATTTCGCGTTGGGGACATTGAATAACTGATGACAAGTCGTCTGCCACCAATTCATTCTACCTGTTGTCAGTCCTACATCAATTATGTCTGAACCAATTTTGGATGCCCCTTTCGACGAGAAAATGAAAATTGTATTTCCTGAAGAAATACGTGAAACTCCTTTTGCAGCGTGCTAATCGGGATGGTAAGCGCGAACACGGGTGGAGGAAAAAATACGTGTTGCGTCCGGACTAGATGGCAAAGATGAACAAGGAAAGACCCCGAGGTTCACTGCGACCAAGGGTGGACACAGGTACCTTCGCATGATTTATCGCAAGGAGATATTCGATTAAGTGTCATAAAACCGAAACAGCGAGGGCGAATGCCACAAAAAGTGAAGCCGAAACACATGTTTCGTCCCATTTATTATAAGCAGCGAACATAACACATACTGCAAAATCTACAGGCTTCAGTGGATACTTATTTATTGAATCGTAACATTCTTTAAAAGCTTAATCATCGGAGATTTTGAATGAGTTCATTATAGAATTGGATTTCAACTAGCGCAAGATGGAGTAAGTGCTTTGCAATCAGCAGCGGTAGACGCGGTGGCTAAGCCGATGGCGCTCTAGACGCCAGACTTGGGAGCTAAAGATACCAGTAAACGAAACAAGTTCCCCTTTTTAACGAGAACCCGAATTTGTACCATTGCTTTTGAATCCAGCATTGCAACTGCTCGGTTTTGTTGCCTCCTGAAAGGATAATTAAGGTTATGCTACGATCTCACACAAAGTGTAGATGTTTGAGTTCTTAATCGTTTTTCGCCTGCAGGAACGTTGGCTACATCCGAATGCGAGATTTTGCCAACCCTTGTGGTAAGGACAGGGAACACTGGAAAACCCTTATGTGTGCGGCAGACCTGGGCGAGGAAGAGTCGTGCCAAGATATACTCAATGCTAAATGCCACCGTTGATCAGAGGAACATAGATGGAGATACAGCATTGTATATTGAGTGCAGGAGAGGACATGTGGGTGTTATCAACTTGCTAATGGCTCACGGGGCAAGTTTGAACGTTTGTAACAAAGATGGTGTCACGTGTCTTCAAGCTGCCGCTGAGGCAGGAAATAGTGACGTTGTATTTGCAATGAGAAAGTGAAGGTGAGGTAATCAGTATTTGAGGTAAAGTCCCTGGGGAGTCTGTCTAGCTCATCTGAGTGGTGGCACCAGATACTGAATACCGGAATGCCAACTGTAGCTTCACTTTACATACATACATGCATACATACCTACAGACATACATACATAGATACATAGATTAATTGACCACTCCCCATAGGGGCTTTTCAGGGCCAACACCCACCCATCCCACCCAGGGGAGGACATCCACCACACAGTAATCTCGTGCGTGGGAAATTAACGTCTCCTACCCCTAACCCTGCAGGAGACGGGGCCTACGGTTTATTCGTCCTTATCCGAGAAGACTAGAATATCTATCCATTTCTTGATTATAGAAAGGTAGCAAATTCTCCTCACTTATTTTAAGACCATGAGTATTGGTCCGGCCGGGGCTCGAACCCTCGACCTCCCGCACAACACAATCCGGCGCTCTAACCAATTGAGCTAACCGGGAGGCGGTTAGCTCAATCTCTCTTTGATGAATATAGCACAGACATTGTTATAAACAAACTTGCACCTGCAGCAAATTC